ATCTAGCAGTGTATATCGGTTTATCCATTTGAAACATGAATGTCGACTATTATATATGCCATTGTAATATTTTTCGTTGGACACACACTGATTTGTGATGGTTGACTGAATTTCTTTTTTTAGTAGTTATGCATCAACAGAATTATCACAATCATCATATATACACAGGGACATGGTATCGTTGCCCGATTCACCCGAGTCAGAGGCTCATGATATACGTGTTTGACAACTAAGGACTAAGGGTTAGTTTTTGTTGAGGGAGAAAACCCAAGTACCTGCGCATGGGGAAAACCCTCAAAGCACAGAACCAACCAAACTCTACTTACATTAGTAAACACTCTACCTACAGTAACCGGTTTAACTGAAGTAAACTTACCTCGGGCGAATGAAATAGCCATACATAGTACACAGGAAAAGATAGAGTCATTGACTCTGTAGCTCAGTTGGTTAGAGCACTGCACCGGAATCGCAGGGCCGTAGGTTCGATTCCTGCCAGAGGGCTTATAGTTGCATTTTTCGCAACTGCTCCTGGTTAGGTCGAATAAATGTATAAAAAATCAACTCGAAATTTCCATCAACAAATCCCTTCAACATATTGTCTGCCGAAGTTAGTCTTTTCTAAAATCTTAAAAATACGTTATAACCTATACGTTGCACGAACGACCCGATGCAGCTTTCCTCCTCTATTTTGTCAAAGATTGATGGTACTTCGACCTACATAGCTATGAGTACACAAGTGATTCACCTCTTGCAGGACATGAATCCATGAGAGAGATATCATCAATTGCAATGTCTCCAATGAAACTTTTACCACGTACACCTTCGATTACAAACTGCAAAAAAAGTAGAAAAGTGCGGTCGTTTCCGTTAACTGGTAAATGAACCTCAGAAATATTTATCACTTGAACAAGCAGGTATTTCTAATTCTATACCCAGCTGGGCCACCTATATCTGCTGTCTTTAGATTCAGTTACATTTGGTGTTCACTGATGTACATGCTCACCTGATATGACGCCATTTGATTGTTCACAGCCACTTGTGCTTGATGCCATCCGTTACCTTGGTCTCCAGAAAGACTCCACAGAGAATCCATCTTACCCCCAGATTTCACGTAGACCTAAAATTATACATGTATATTTATCAGTGTGTGAATGAGTGTCGGACGTTTTCCGACCAAATTACAGTTTTTCGATCCAATGCCAGACATTTTTCCGAACAGAAAATAGCAATCAGTTGGAATTGATATTATTTAAAGTATACTGTGTAGTGTTTGGCATAAAGTAATATTTATATACTGACGTATAATTTATCAAATGCATGCGGACCAAGTTTTGAATGTTCTTTCAGCCTCTGCGATAGGTTGAAAAGTACTCGATACCACAAAGATCGAGAAAATACAGTATAGCATAGTATAGTTTGGTTCACTTCAAAATCTTCGCCACCAAAGGTTTCACTCCGATAATGGGTGTTTATCTATGATACTATGTTTATGTAGGATACTTTAAAGTTTACTGTACGAGTACCTCAAGTATTGGATGGCGTGAATTCTGATGGCGAGTTCTTCCGTTCTTGTATTCTGAGAGTGAGTTCTTCAGTTCTTGTATTCTGATAATGAGTTCTTCCATTCTTGTATTCTGATAGTGAGTTCTTCCGCTCTTGTATTCTGATGTTGAGTTCTTCCGTTCTTTTATTCTGATAGTGAGTTCTTCCGTTCTTGTATTCTGATGGTGAGTTCTTCCGTTCTTGTATTCTGATGGTGAGTTCTTCCGTTCTTGTATTCTGATGGTGAGTTCTTCTGTTCTTGTATTCTGACGGTAAGTTCTTCCGTTCTTGTATTCTGATGGTGAGTTCTTCCGTTCTTGTATTCTGATGGTGAGTTATTCCGTTCTTGTATTCTGATAGTGAGTTCTTCCGTTCTTGTATTCTGATGGTGAGTTCTTCCGTTCTTGTATTCTGATGGTGAGTTCTTCCGTTCTTGTATTCTGATAGTGAGTTCTTCCGTTCTTGTATTCTGATGGTGAGGTCTCCCGTTCTTGTATTCTGATGGTGAGTTCTTCCGTTCTTGTATTCTGACGGTGAGTTCTTCTGTTCTTGTATTCTGATGGTGAGTTCTTCCGTTCTTGTATTCTGACAGTAAGTTCTTCCGTTCTTGTATTCTGATGGTAAGTTCTTCCGCTCTTGTATTCTGATGGTGGGTTCTTCCGTTCTTGTATTCTGATGGTGAGTTCTTCCGTTCTTGTATTCTGATAGTGAGTTCTTCCGTTCTTGTATTCTGATGGTGAGTTCTTCCGTTCTTGTATTCTGATGGTGAGTTCTTCCGTTCTTGTATTCTGATAGTGAGTTCTTCCGTTCTGGTATTCTGATGGTGAGTTCTTCCGTTCTTGTATTCTGATGGTGAGTTCTTCCGTTCTTGTATACTGATGGTGAGTTCTTCGGTTCTTGTATTCTGACGGTGAGTTCTTCCGTTCTTGTATTCTGATGGTGAGTTCTTCCGTTCTTGTATTCTGATGGTAAGTTATTCCGCTCTTGTATTCTGATAGTGAGTTCTTCCGTTCTTTTATGGCGTGTTTTGATAGCGTATGTATTGCGTGATTACTTGGGTACGGTAAAATGTAAAATTCCGGTTTATGTATATTGCATGAGTGTTGGCCTTGATCGCCTGATGCCACGACACTTGCATGTGGACTGTTTGGGAAAGTGTATAAATAAATAGAAATAAATAAATAACTACATAATAAAAATAAATACCCGAAGTTCACCCAGGTGATAGCCGTACATGTGGTAAAAAAAGATGAGACAGGATTTGGCTGTTGTTGTCGATGGTGAGATCAATCGTGCTGTGTCGTTCGGTTGCCTTGGTGACGAGGTTTCGATGTATAAATACCAACCAGATGCTGAAATGAGAAACGTGACGTTGGTTAAGCCTGAAAAGTTGGAGAGAGTAGATTTAAGTGAAGCTAAGTGTGTAGTGGAAAACGCAGACACGGTCATGCGGACACGCAGACAATGCGGATATGTACACATGAGGACATGAAATTTACTAAAGTTGAAAAAATTTATCACGAGAATAATCAAATTTATTAGACTGGTATAGTGTAACGATATAGTAAACGAAGATTGATAATGGATTGTTGCGCGAACTTTACTGTTTTGATGTATTTTTACTTAGCTAGTATAAAAGATTTGAAAAGAAATTCCGAGGCGCAGCTGAGTTTTTTATGTCTGATAAAAAAACACGACAACATGTGTTTTCAATAGCTTAAAACACGACTACAAAAGAATACTAATTAGGATGAACAATTACATAATCATACGAATTAGGATGAAAACGTACATAAAGAATACTAATGAAGATGAGTTTTATCAGATATAAAGTCATTTCACGTGACATATTATGGCTGACATTGTTTGCTACAAGGTTTACGAATTATTGAGTATTTTAAATGCCAGTTACATATCACTCTATTTTAGTAGAAATGTTCAACACTAAAATGCCGACTGAGTACGAATACTGCTATCTTGAAGCGCTCTAACTAACTGAGCTACAGAGTCCAGTTGTTGATCTCCAACCGCAAGTAGGGTGATGCTATGGTAAGGTTTATGGGCAAATATCAGCATTTTGGGCAACTGCTGGACTCTGCAGCTGCCCGAAGGCATACAGTTGCATTTTTTGCAGCTGCCCCTGATTAGGACTAATAAATGTATAAAATTTTACTCTATAACTGATTAAATTTTACTCTATAATTCCATCTATAAAACATCAAGTACCTATATTGTGAGGAAGTTGTCGCTGTTGACAAAGGATTAAAAGAGGTGCGAAGTGTCAAAATGGACGGGCATTCCATAATTCAGCCATGATGATACCCGACGAAGAAATAATTCCAAAACTATACCTGCGTGTGCGTTCAACTGTAGCATTAAATCCTATCCATTGGCTCCTCAATCTCTTTACAGTCTGGTGTCAGTGGGCTCATATGATAATACGTGTAGACAAATGTTCAACATTTGGCATTAAGAAACAATTAACTAAATCCATCCAATATCTCCCAAAACTATTTATAAATAACTGTCTTCTACCACGTGTTGAACTTGGTAAATTATTTCGCTACTTAGGTCGTTATTTTGACTTCAACATGTCTGAGGAAGATCACAAATCTGAACTATATGACACGCTTACTAATATCCTGAATGAAATTGATGATCTACCATTACATCCGAAAAACAAAATTCTCAAATACAGTCGTTATGTGCTTTCCAAAATCTCTTGGCACTTCACTGTTTCTGACATAGGCAAAACCTGGGTTAACGATAAACTAGATAGTATCGCATCCACGTATATCCGGAAATGGCTTGAACGTCCTATTTCTGCAACCCTTAGTAACGTCCTACTTCCTCACAATAAATTTGGATTAAATATCATTCTACCTTCAACCAAATTCCTTTTATGCCAAACTGTTTCTCGGAAAGCTCTAAAGTCGTCGTCAAATGAAGCGATCAATAACCTTTGGAAGGATACTAGGAATCACAAAAATGTACAATATGACAAATAGAAAAACACCAAGGACGTATTAAACACCGTCAGGAAACAACACAAAGACAAGCTTCAAAACCACCTGATTTCACAAGGCTCATTTTTCTCCAATATCATTAAACATTCGACATTCTCATTCAACTCTATATGGTCCTCCGTTCAAAGTAAACTTCCCAAGAATATATTTAATTTCACTATCCGGTATATAAATAACACTCTTCCGACACGCAAAAACCTTCAGAAATGGGGAATATCACCAACATCCGAATGTTCGTTCTGTTTGAATCCCGAAGCACTTCTTCACGTCGTCGCTGGATGCAAGACCTACCTAAATGAAGGACTTTCACGTGGCGTCATGATTCGGTGCTTAACTTCATAGCATCCATACTCAAATCTGTGGACCATTCTAACCTTTATGCTGACCTTCCTGGCTATATCAGTCCATCTGTTCTCACCGGAGATGAATTACGCCCTGATCTTTTGATAACACTTGAAAACAGATGTACTTATATACTTGAACTTACGGTCGGATTTGAATCTAATCTCCTCACTAATGCAACTCGATAAAGACAAAAATATCAAGATCTAATTAATGAACAGCTCAAAAAATATGAAAAAGTAAAATTTGTAAATTTATCGATTAGTTCATTAGGAGTTTTCCGTCATTCGTCACTAGATTTCACCGAAATGCTAAAAGATCTAAAGTTTGATGAACAATGCAGAAAGTACTATGTTCGGAAAATTATTAACATATGTATCAGGTCCTCGTATTATATATTCTGTAAGCGTAACAAAGAATGGGATAACCCACAACTAATGCCATACTAATATTGTTATTATGTAGCCGTGTTAATTCAAGTAGTCACTGGTAAACTACCTGTAAAGAGAGGTTTATCGTTGTAGAATGTATGTATATATATATATATATATATATATATATATATATATATATATATATATATATATATATATATATATATATATATATATATATATATTATTGAAAGTAATAAAGTTTCCATTATTATTATTATTATTATTATTATTATTATTATTATTATTATCATTATTATTATTATTATTATTATTATTATTATTATTATTATTATTATTATTATTATTATTATTATTATTATTATTATTATTAATTTTAGAATTAACCAACAATACAATGATGCCTCCACTAAGTTTTACAATTCATAAAACCGTAATAAAATTCTAAAAGCATATTGTAACATTGGCCAGTGCCTTTTTACTTCAAGGCGAATTATATAGCTATCAAAGTTTGTCAGCTATTATTCGAAGACACCTCATGTCAACAGCCCAGATAGTATTTTTCCCATAATTGTCTCGCTTTCCCATAATACGGTCTTTTGCATTTCTCTACTTATCCAGTGTAAATCTTTCTCGTTGTTAATCAACTCTCTTATATCATCTTTCAGTCTTTTCATCCCTCCTCCTAAACAGCCGATCACCGCTGGTATAACTTTCACTTTATGTCCGTCCCGTCTTTCTCGTAATTCATAACAAAGCTCAACGTACTTTCTTATCTTATCTTCTCTTTTCCCGTCTTTGAACGACTCATACGGACATGCCATGTCTATTAGCATTATCTCTTTCTTTCTGCTGTCCTCTAGCGTCAGATCGGGCCTCCTTGCCGTGCAATTCGTCCTCATCCGAAGTTCCCAATCCCAATATAGCTTCTTCCCGTTATTTGCAATTACTTTTCCTCCCTCCCATTTCGGTAACAATCCATTGTCAATCGCCCACTGCACTGCTAGTACTTTCAACGCGTTGTCATGTGTTCTTACATACTCCGATCCCGCCAACTTTTTGCGTCCTGCCAATAGGTGTTGAACTGTTTCTCTAAATTCCCCACACAATCTGCACTTGTCTTGGTCCACTAGTCCTCTCAATTTCTTCCATGCTTTTGTTTTATTATTATTATTATTATTATTATTATTATTATTATTATTATTATTATTATTATTATTATTATTATTATTATCATTATTATTATTATTATTATTATTATTATTATTATTATTATTAATATTATTATTACTATTATTATTATTATTATTATTATTATTATATATATAGCGATGGCGGCCACATGCTACACGTCAGGAAGAAACGTCTGTGTTTTATAAACGAAAATACGACTTTATACTATTTTCTTGTTGTTGAAATTCCTGCACAAAATCCAGCTTGCTGTGTAAACGAGACAAATTCGAACAGACGAACTCAGAAAGGCAATATTTTAAACGATTTTGTGAAACTCTATGTCAGCGATAGCAAGTCAATATGGCTAATCGAAGGCAATATAAACACAGGCGTAAATGGACAGATCAAATGAACGAGGATCTTTTGAGTTGCAAACGCGAGGCTGTGGCAATGACACAAATGGAACAACCACCGTTGGATGGAAATAGCAAGAAAAAAGGCTATATTAAACTCATGAAGGAGCTATGGGATGCGAAAGGATATAATGATTTTGGCTTCTCAAGCCAGAATTTGCGTGATCAAGCTGCAAGGCTGGAGAAATCTTTGGAGCTGGGGGACTCGAGAAACGTATCAAGAGATTCTGTTGCTATAAACCAAAGCAATTTACCGGAGTTGAATAAGGACAATTTAATACGGGATTCGCAAACGGGAGAGGGCTCAAACGGTTTCGATATGTCGGCGAAAGATGCCGCCTTGATTGATGAATCGCAGTATACAAATCAAACGAATGAATTGCAAACAACAACCCGCCACGATTTGCATAATAGTCAACATGAAATTCCTGGAGCACTCGACCAGAACGAAGATAATGCAATTGTCTCTATAATAATGTAAATAAACCACCTATGATTAATTGGGGGAAGCGAGGCGATGGACGAACAATAGTTATATCGACTTCAGACATTACAGATGCATATGATGAAATTACAACTTGGAAAAAGAATGTTTTTCTAGTGCCATACGGGAAAATAGGAAGGGATTTTATCGATCAGATAACGATGCATATAAACGACTGGAATAGCGGTTCGGAAAATCAACATGTTTCCCTAAAAGCTGTTTTTGTACTTCTCGCCGTTGGGCTTCAAAAGCCAAACCCGAAGTCCAAGGCAAAGGACCATCAAGATGCCTTGTCAAAGCGACTTGCACTTTGGAAGGACGGTGAGATCAGTAAGCTAATACGTGAGGGACGAATCATACAAAGTCGTATTGGAAAATTTAAAGGATCAAACCACCCTGATAAAGCTAAAGTCTTTGCTAAGCTTGTGCTAGAAGGTCAAATCAACTCCGCCCTTCGCTTCCTGAGTGAAACCTCAAATGGCGGCGTGTTAACGTTAACTGACGATGTAATGACGCAATTAAAACAGAAGCATCCTGAGCCACAACCAGCAAAACTAGGATCGGTATTATTTGGCCCGCTCAATGACGAGATACCCGAATCTGTTTACTCACAGATCAATGGTGAGATGGTTAGACAAGCCGCTTTGAGAACAAAGGGATCCGGAGGCCCGTCTGGTGTCGATGCTAACGGCTTTAGAAGAATGTTGGCATGTAAGTCCTTTAAGCAATCATCTACAAGACTGTGCGAAGCTATAGCCAGAATGACCAAGACTTTGTGCACACAATATATCGATCCTACTACTATTGAAGCATTGATTGCTAGTCGTTTAATTCCCCTAGACAAAGGCCAAGGTGCGGTAAGACCTATCGGAGTAGGAGAGGTAATAAGAAGGATAAGTGCAAAATGTGTTATGAGCTTTGCAAAGAAGGACGTTGTGGAAGCAAGTGGATCGTTACAATTATGCGCTGGGCAAAAGTCTGGAAGTGAGGCTGCAATACATGCAATGGAACACCATGTTTGAAGCTGATGACATTGATGATGTTTTACTTATCGATGCTTCTAATGCATTCAATGCACTCAACAGAATTGTGGCTCTGCATAACATCCGTGTGTTATGTCCGATAATCGCTGCCTACGCTATAAACACCTACAGACAGCCAGCTCGGCTGTTTATTGTTGGCGGCAAAGAGATTGCGTCAGCAGAAGGAACCACACAAGGAGATACTTTGGCAATGGCCTTTTATGCGATAAGTACCCTGCCTTTGATCACGAGTCTATAGGCCGCATCTACCGTGAATCAGTGTTGGTTCGCAGACGATGCGAGTGGAGCTGGTCGTGTGACACAAATCAAAGCTTGGTGGGATGCATTGAATACTCTTGGTCCAAGCCTGGGATATTTTCCGAAAGATGAGAAATACTGGA